TATTCAAGAATTCACTTTGCAGTAACACATCACAGAGAATTTAGAGTCAGTTAGCAGTTTTTTAAAGTGTTAATATATGATTGATGTAACTATTTTGTTTAATTGTAAACTATAATTTTATAATTGTTTTGAGTTAAATGGCAAAGTAATTTCAAAGCACATAGTACTATAAAATAAATTTTGTGTAGCAGGATATTCATTCTGCTACATTGTATTCAGAGTGGAGCTCTGTGATTAGACAGTGGAAGAGGAAGTAGAGCTGGGAGAGAAATAGAGGATGGGGAGGGGAGAAAAAGAGGAATGGGAGGGGAGAAAGAGAGAAAGGGGAGGAGAAGAAGGAGGCTCTCTGCCTTGGAAAACCATGGATGAGTTGAAATCTGTTCTGGGAAGCAAATTCTATCAAAAGGTTAGATATTCGGTAACAATTCTAATTGTGTGGGCATCTTGTTGATTGAGCATTTCTAAATATATAAATCCTTTAGATAATCACTAAGCTTTAAGAGTCTCATTTCAACTGGGCACTGAGAGGACAGAAGATATTGTCTGGGGTTCAGCCTGAGCTTTGTGGATGCAGAGTGGGGGATTGGCAGAGCCATCCCCCATGCTGGCATCTCATGAGTGCCAGGGCCTGCACAACTAGCTAGCTGAAGCCGCCCCCCCCCCCCCCGCCATCAAAGCCAAGGAGCAGAAGGAACATGGTGGCTGCCAAGGAGCAAGCCTGACTGGGTGCTGTTTTCTAAATATCACCCCTACAAGTTTGCTAAATGCATTGTTATATTATGGCTTAATGTCTACTAAGAGTGCTTACTTTGCTATATAGCTATCAAGAACCATCAATATTTATTTATATGCACTGGAAAGAATGTAGTATTTTGCCACAATTAAAACAGATGGGACTTGGGTCATGAGCATTTTTTGATCTGAGAGCTGGTTACTTACTGATACGGACACATTTGGGAGGAGGTGACCAGCCAGTCTCTGTACATGTCATTGTGTCTTGACCATTTGGAAGATTGTAGCCATCATAACACTGGACTTTTACAGACTGACCCTGTAAATGTTTTCTTTCCCAATAAGAAGATTCTCCATTCTCCACATAATGGAAAACACATTGTTCTAAGAAACAGAAAAATTATAAATTTAAAAAGAAAACTTTCATTTGTCTAGAAAGAAACTAAGTTAAATGTTATCTTTACAACTATTTGATGAGCATGCATGGTATTCAAAAATAAAATTAATAACAAATGTTTAAGAGACTAACATTTGTCTTTAGTTTCTATAAATAAAATATGCAATTTCCATAGTCCCAACTGTGTGTGTACATTTCATGAAGAGCTGCTCACAAAGGACAGAAACTAGCTGCTTTTGGCTCACAAATTCTTTTGTTGGTCACATTTTGTCATGAGAAACTTAACTGTAATTATGTATGTGCTTCCTCTTTTAAAGAATTAAACTTAGTTAAATATAAAGACATTGACTTACTGAGGCATGGGACCTGAGGCTCCCACCCTTTTACTGTGCAACGAAGGTAATCCCAGTATGAATCTGAAGGTGTTGTAAACCCATTGTCACAGTAATAGCTGTACTCCTTTCCTATAGGTACTGGGAAGTAGGGTCTCCGTCTTTCTTCATAATACAGATGTCCATGTTTGAATTGTGGAAAATCACATGGTTTCACTTAAAATAAAAAATATATATATATGTAAAACAGAAAGCCACTCATATAAGAGATAGAACTCTTGATCAGTGAATTACTTTCAGTTAATTAAAATAACTACATGACAGAACAGTGGGTGTGTGGGAAAAGGAAGTAAAACAAAAGACAACTTTAGTTTGTGACAATGTCTTTCAACATGAAATCAAATTATAGCTGATACCCACCCAGAGATGTGGGTTAGAGATATTTGTCAATATCCAATATAACTGCTTATTTATAATTTTCACTGAAACTAAAATAAAATATGAATATTGAATCATATGGAGCTCTTTTTGTACCTTTTTATTAAAATGCTGTATTGTTCATTATATTAAGTTTATAAGTAATATAATTTATTATCTATATAATTATTTTTATTATTATTTATAATTTGTATTTAGTATAAGAATAATACCTTTTTTCATGAAGTATGATTCTGCTTCAAGAAACCTCTTGCAATATATTAAAAATTATTTCAACAAATACATATAAAAACAAATAAGTCTCCTTAAACTTCCTCATTCATTTTGGTTTTTGTTTTATGAGAGAAATTTTTCAAGAATTTTTTACACATTTATTACATGGTTCAAAAGTTGTAATACTTTTTATCCTAAATGTTCTTCTTTAAAAATTTTGAGAATTGTATTTTTCATAGGACATCAATAAGTTAAATTAGTGCACAGAGATTTTGTTTTAAAAAGTAACAAAAGGATGTTTGTTTCAGAGTAGGAATATCATTAATAACACAGTCCTCAGACTTTTACCTAATCTTCATTCTCCAGTGGGCACAGGTGAATCTGTTTTCCCCCTTTATACACATTTCTTTTTTTTTAATTGGATGATTAATGTACAGTCCATATGTTGTCCCCTTACCCCATCCCCCACGCACCCAGGAACCCCCTATCCCCTCACCCCTCCTCCTTCTTCTCTGTGGATGTAACCCCTACCTACCCCCCCCACTCCCACCTCCCCACTCTCAAAATTCCCACCCCCTGGGGCGTCCAGCCTTCATGAAACAAACATTATATTTGTTAAACTACATGGTCATTTGAGGTGGTCAGTACATAAATGTTTGATATCTTACAATTTTCAGATACAGGTTGTGACTGCATCAGAAATGATTGTTGTACTATGTATCATACTGTTAATGCACTCTACTCAGACAGCTGATCAAAATATTTACCAATTTTACAACTTTCATAAATATTATGGGCACAGTACAAGATCTTCTAGTTTTTTCTGATCTCCAATCCCAAGATTTTCTAATTTTTAATGATAAATCTCATCCTACTACATATTCAACATGACACAAAACATTAATTTCTAGTGTAACTTCTAACACAGATTCATCATCATCATCTCCTTTATTGTTCCAGTTATACATTTTACAATGTATTTCCCCCAATTAATAAAAGTCTTAATGAAAGTAATGAGAAATTAAATATCACTGAAGAGTGAGTATTACACATTTTAATTTTAAAAAGTTATTTAATAAAATTACAGATAAATTAACCGTCTTTATCTTATCCAGGAAATATCAGAATGTTCACTGCAAAATAAATAAAATTCAGATATATTCAAGCCACAGACAGTTCAGAAATATTTGGCCCTGATCTGCATTGTGGAAACTCAAACATAGTTGGGTTTGTGTCTCACTGCACTAGACAGATTCTACACTTATAATTGTAAAGCTACTCAAAAGTCCATGGCAAAGATGTCATAAGATCTGTATGCAGAGACACACATTAATTCTGTTATTAAAATAAATTGACTTAACACTAAACAATCTTCTATGTAAATATGTTTATATTCATAGCTAATCACACTGTTAACATCAGAGAAGATTCTTTTTTCTAGTAAATTATAATAAAAGTAAAGATTCATTAATATACAATGTAATAGAAATAGCGACAGTGTATGGAAGTATTAAACAAGACACATGCACCATCCCCTCGAAGCATCCTGTGAATGAAGGAGCACAAAGATTTTAAGAGCTAGAGTAATCAAGGCTGCTATATCTGGATAAAACATTGCCATTACAATCACAAACTCTCAAAAAGTACAGACCCCCTCACAGGAATGGGCCATCAATATCCAGGCATGACTGTAGTAAGGTCTCGGGGAATGGTGGCCTTCACTTTTGGAACTATAATGCTGATAGATTTAGAATTGTAGGGAATCATTGCTTTCAAGTGTATACCCACTAATGAATAAACCAGGGTTAAAATACAAGTCCAAGTCAAATGTTACACATATTTCCTGAGTTAAGCTAAATGTATCATACATCAACACTCAAAATTACAATTGTTGGAAAAGGATAGGAATAGATGATATCTTGTTTATAGAGATGAAACAATGTGGAAGAAAATAGGAACAGAGAATATCCAGAATATATTGTGGTATACCAGAAGTCAGAAGCCACAACCCAGACCAATGATTGAATGGAATGAACATCTGCAAGTAAAGCTGTTTGGACAAAAGGATATACTGTATGGCACACTGCAATTCCTGCGGCTTCCTTGACAAGATGTTTATTTGTTTGTTGGGGTTTTTTATTTGTTTTGTTTTAAGAAAAAGCTTGCAAGGGCACAGATTAAATATGGAAGAATGGGAAGATGAGTGGGATTGAGTACTTGTGAAAGTTACCAGGAATAAATTTTAAAAAGGCCAAAAAATATTTTCAACAAAATAATAAAAGAAAAACTTTATAATCTAAAGAAGGAGATGCCTATAAAAGTAGAAGTTTACAACACACCACATAGATGGGAAAAGAAAGTGAAGTTCTCTCAAAACAATAATCAAAGCACAAAATATTCAAAACAAAGAATAAATACCAAAAGCTGTGAGAGGAAATATATAAAGGCAGACCTATCATAATATACCTAATTTTTAATGGAAACTCAAACAAGAAGGACCTGGACATACTAAGAGACCAGAGTTGCAGCCTAGAATACAGTAGTCAGCAAAACACTCAATAAACATAAAAGGAGAAAACAAGCTATACCATGAGATAATCAAATTTAAACAATATATATTAACACCCAAGCACTATAAAAAGTACTAGAAAGAAAACTCCAATCCGAGAAGATTATGTCCAAGAAATAAATAATCTTTACTTCAACACAAGGAGATCATCTCTACCACAGGTAATAAATAATCTCACACCAGCAAAAGAATACACATACACACACACACACACACACACACACACAAATACACACAAACAAAACCATCACCACCACCACCATCAAAATAATAGGAATTAACAGTCATTGGTCATTTATAGCTCTCAATATCCGTGGGTTCCATTCTCCAATAAAGATGGCACAGGCTAACAGAATGGATGTGAAAACAGTATCATCCTTCTTCTGCATACAAGAAACATACCTCAACATCAAAAATAGGTATTACTTCATAGTAAAAATTAGAAAAAGATTTCTCTAGCAAATGGAACCAAGAAGCAAGACCATGTAGCCATTCTAATATCTAACAAAATAGACTTCAAGCCAAATTAATCATTAGTGGTACAGAAGGAAACTTCATACTAATCAAAAGGAACATTTCATGAGTATGACATCTCAATTCTTAACATCTCTGCCTGAAATGCCAGGGCACTGACATTTATAAAAATTAAAAACAAACATACAAACAAATAAAAAAAGAAAAAAATTACATAACATGTCTCAAACACCATACATTAATAATGGAAAACTTCCACACCCCACTCTTGTCAATGAACACATCATCCACACAGAAAAAGTCCATAAAAAAATGGGCCACAGAGATATTATCAATCAAATGGATTTAACAGAAATCTATGGAATATTTTACCCAAACTTAAAAGAATATATCTTTGTCTCAACACCTCACAAAACATTCTCAAAACCTGACTATATACTCAATCACAAAGCAAGGCTCAAAAGATACAAGAAAATTGAAATATTTCCTTGTATCTTATCAGACTATATGGATTAAAGCTTAACTTCAACAACAGAAGCCTATAAACTCTTGGAAACTGAATAACTCTCTATGGCATGACCACTGGATCAAGGAAGAAATAAAGAATTAAAGGCTTCAGGTATTCAATGAAAACGAAGGCACAACATACAAAATGTATGGGACACAATGAAAGGCATGTTAAGAGGAAAGTTTATAGCACTAAGTGCTTTAATAAAGAAATTAGAGAGATCTCATACTAATGAAAACTCTAGAAGTGAGTATACAGCAGGAAATAAACCAACTTGGAGCCAAGAGACATTATAGGGATCAAATCAATAAAACAAAATCAAAGAGAACAATGCAAACAAGAGTTGGTTCTTTGATAAAATCACCAAGATAAACACTTAGCCAAATTAACTGAGAGCCAGAAAGAATATTGAAACTAACAAAGTCAGTAATGAAAACAGGGACATAACAATAGATACCAACCAAGTCTGAGGAATCAGACTTCAAAAACCTGTATGCTACAAAATTGAAAAATCTAAAACAAATGGACAATTTTCTTGATAGATACCATTTATCAAAGTTAAATCAAGATGAGATACAAAATTTAAATAGACCTATAATACCTAAGGAAACAGAAGCATTCATTAAATGTCTCCTAACACAAAAGATCCCAGAGACAAAAGATTTTTAGCTCAAGAATCAACAAAACATTCAAAGAAGATCTAATATCAATACTCCTCAAATTTTTCCACAAAATAGAAGCAGAAGAACATTTCCAAATACATTGTATGAGACCAGAGTTACCCTGACACCCAAACCACACCAAGATTCTACAAAGTGAATTTCTATAATAAACATTGATCCAAAAATACTCAATAAAATACCAGCAAACAGAATTCAAGAACATATGAAAAATATCATCCACCATGGTCAAGTAACCTTCATGCCAGTGATTCAGGGTTGCTTAAACATATGAAAAAATTTTAACATACAGATATACTTTTGATGCCTGTCTCCTACCATAGCATATGTGTAG